TGGTGGCGACGCCCTTTTGTTTGGCCTCGCCCTTTTCCAGGGCGGCGGCGGCGGCAGTGGGGCAAAAAGGTGGCGGACGCGACTCCGGGCGCGGCGACGGGGGCTGCGAACGGGGGCAAGTTCAGCGTGTCCTTCCTCCCTCCCCCACCCCACCCCGCCGCGCCTACTTGGCCACTCGGTTTGTTTGTCAAGGTCCCCGCAACACTGCAGCCCCTGCCTGCCCGTTGCACGTGCGGAAGGGAAGGCAGCGACACGATTCGATCATCATCATCACTTTCTCGGTCCTCATCTCCATGCTATCTTATCTATCGTCTGCTGCCCGCCCGTCTATCTGGTCGCCATGTGCCTCGAGGTCTGGATGGAGTGTGGCCCCGCGGGCGCGGGGGCAGGCAGGGCACTTGAACGAGGCCGTGTGTGTTGGTCGCTTCTTGTTCTTGGCGCTTCCAGAGCCGCTCGCCCGGGACCGCCCCGGTACGCCGCCGCCGCCGCCCGGCTCGGCTCCAGGTGCCGGGCAGGAAGAAAAAGAACCTGTTCTGACGGTCCCTCCCCGCCGCGGCAGCTTCAGGCACGGCCCCACACGGGCCTCACCGCCCGCCCGGCCCGGCCGTGTATAAACAGCCGTCGCGTAATATTCGCCTGGTCGGTCTCAAATCTGCAGATTAACCTTCCAAGGTGCGGATAACACCCCCACCTGTCCCCCGCCCCTGCTCGCCTATAGCTCTTCCGCTCGTGGTTGGGTTTTACGACGCAAGCTCACGCTACTTGCAATTTTATTTTTTTACTCGGCTCTTAAAATACGCCATTCATGCGGTGGTCCGTGTAAATGAAAGTGTCTTCGCGGTTTTGCGTCCCGGGCCCGCCCGCCCGGCTGCTGGCCGAATCTTTTACAGTCCAATTCCCAGCTCGTTACGAACGCGTGCCAGCGCATGCCCGCCCCATCCCCGCTGCATTATCATGTTAGAGCAAGGAGCCTGCAAGAAACAGAGAACAATATTTGTTAACACTTGGATCTATACGATGCATTTACCCTCTCACTAACT